TTCGTTTTTGAACGCTTTATTTTGTTACGAATTCAAGCAAGCTGCCAATGAGCTGTATGTGGTTTTGAAGAGCTTTTCTTGTTCTATCTAACAGCTAGGCTAGCTATGTTCCTTACATTTATCTATTTCCTTATTTTTAGTTGTCATTTTTTGAAGCCTTGAATACGGCATACTCCAAGAGCAAATTTGCATGATTTCCTTTTTCTAGCTCAAAGCAGGCCAGTATGGAGAGGAAGCAGGTCAAGATATTATAGACGCACTTGGCTGAGATTCGCAATAATATGGTCTGAAGCAATTGTTCAAAAAGCTTTGTAAGAATAGCGAGAGCCCTAAAGATTGAGGGTGGTGATCGGAGATTGGACACACGCCAACGATTAGTCGAGCGTTCTGGTTGAAGCACGTTTGCACAAATCTATTGAGAGGGTTCCTCCTAAACTAATCGCACTTGCATTGTGTTTTCTTGTTGTACGGGAAGAGCTGGAAAGTCCCAAAAATTCAAATAGGGCGTGCCGCGACAGCTCACCATTTTGAAGGGTCGTTCGCCGCGTTCTAGCTTGTTTCATGCCATGAAAACGACCTGACTTTTTGATCATTTGCGACGCACGACAAAGAACTGATTCTTTGCTACAGCGTACGAACCTTTGGTGAAGTGATCGACCGCGATCAGGCTCTACAAACTTTGCAAAAGTGAAACTTCACTGAAGGAAGGTTGAGGTGACTTTCATAAGGTCAGCGGCTGGTCTAGCTTTTCGTAACCAGGTGGATCTGTTAATGTGGAAAAAGTACTCCTGATAATGTGTCAAACTACTCCTAGAACTCTGGCACATATGCTCGAAATTCCTCATTATAAAGGAACCGGCTCGTCCCTGACAGGTAGCTCGGACGCACATTCCACAACCAACCCTGCAGAAGTTGGACAAGATTGGCTACGAATTAGTCCTGCGAACATCCTACTCGGTAGACCTTTTGCCTATAATTTGTCACTTTCTCGACTACCTGGATAGCTTCTCCAAAGAGTTAAAAACCAACATGATGCGGAAACGACCTCCGCCGGGTTCATCGTCTCTAGAGCTCCAGTATTCTGCACTACCGGGCTGATTCAACGCAGCTATTATTGGCAGAGGTTTGTGGATTCTAACAGTCTTTACTCCAATCAAAAAGGTTTCGAATGAGCCGAGATACAGGCATTTGAAAATCAAGGTCCAAAAGCGCAAGAACTTTCTTCACGACCAAATATAAACGATACATGGACGACATGTTTATGATCGGCTCTTTCCCGCAATGCACGAAATGCTCCAAAATCTGAACTAGTGCAAGCCTAACATTCACTTCAAGCTGGTCTCCAGATGAGAGCGGCTCTGTTCGTTCCTCAGTGAAATGTTGGAAATAGACCATTGACGCATAGAAAGTTCATGCTGTAAGTAACCTATGTCGAAGAAAGCATGCTACGACGTAGGAGTGTAGATCTACTGTATGAGAGCGAATGTGATACTGGACCTGATTATGAAAACAAGGATTTGCACCAAGCCGTGAGCAGAAGTAAAATGGAGCATATCTAGAATAGTCCAAGAGAAAGATCACACAATCTGATCTGATCCATGATCATCGCATCCTTGCTCTGCCATGGGGGTATTATTCTCGTGCTACTATAAGTGAGCGAGAGCAGCGCAAAATAGTGGACTCAGTTCACTTGTCAACGAGCCTTCCGCTAACCTTGTGTACCGACACCTGTGAGCATGAAAATGCATGGCTAACGGTCTCTGAATCAACGACGAAAGAAACGAGAATAGGAATTAATGCGCTTGACCTTATTTGTTAAATCCCTTAAAAAAGGTGTGCGCCCATCCACAGTTTGAGCGTAATTAGGACAGCACTGGTGTGCCACCTGGCACTACCGGACACCGGAGAGAGACAAGTTCGCAATCTCAGATTCCTTTTCACTTAACTTTGCCTAGCGTTTCCAGCGCTTACGTGCTTTCGATACGGGATTTCTTCTGGCAAATACCTGCCAAGAAGCGATCCTGAACGCTAACACGATAGGCAAACGACGGGTTGAATCTGAAAGAGTCCATCGCAGCTTTGCGCGTACTTTCTCCAGTATTGTTCTTGTAACAATAGGAGCTTTTCTTCCACGTCCACACCAGTCGTTCCTAGCACCATAGTCCATTGATGTAGGCAATGGTGGTTGTTGCAGGCTTTCTGAGGGTCCTGGTTCGCTTTGCAACGTGACACCACCGGACCCCTTGATAAAAGAAGCGAGTAATTCCGCTTAAGGCGCGGATCCGTTAATTTTGGTGTGCGGTACACTGTACCTTAAGGGCGGAAGTGGTGTAGTGGCAAGTGGCACGCTTACCACGCGAGCGGTCCGGGGATCAAATCCTGGGTCGTGAGTCGCCCGGGCCAACCAAGCCTTCCATCCCTCCGGGGTCGGTTAATTGGTACCAGACTTGTCTTACCAGGAAAAACATTTGGTCAACCCGGCCATTTGAAATGAGTGCGTGTGCGGCCGCGCTGCCGCGCACTAAACGAACTCGAAGTTCCTTGCTATTCTTAGCCTTGGAGCGCGGAAGGTACATATCATGCGGCAAGCAAAAAAGTGGAAGAGGGCATAACTTCTTTGAAATCGTACTTTTTGTAATCGTTCAGGTGGATTCGGAATGTGCTTGACGTCCGGTTCCAGAAAACTACATCACAAGTCGGAAACAGCTTCTTCAACGGAGTGAAAGACACAAATTCCTAATTGTTTTCCCCAAAATTTCCATCTTTGAAAGGTCATAACTTCTTTCAAGTGCGAGTTTTCGGATAGCGGCTAAGAAGTTTCAGAAACTTCAAATATTTCTCTATCAAAACAGTATAAAAAGTTTAGTGATTGTCCCCTTTTTCAAAAAATTGTCCCGTTCGAACATTTTTCGTGCAAAAGCGAGTTTTTGGGCTTTCAGCGACCATAACTCACTTCATTTTCATTTCTGTGATGCACTTTTTTCATGGGGTGAAAGTACAGGATTTGCTCTTTCTAACAAGCCCCAAACCGTTTTTCAAAGTTCATTTTTCGAGAAAATCACACGTTCGAACATTTTGGGGGGTTTTGCCGAACACTTTTTTTGAAATCGCGAGTTTTTGGGCTTTCAGCGGCCATAACTCTTTTTTTCATTTCTGTGAGCAAACTTTTAACATGGCAAGAAAGTACAGGATTTTTGCTTTCTAAAAGCGCTCAACCATTTTTCAAAGTTCATTTTTCGAGAAAATCACACGTTCGCACTTTTTCCTTAGGTTTTGAGCAGTAAATTCGAGTTTTTGAGCTTTCAGCAAACACAATTTCCTTCAAAGAAACTTGTTGTGGAGGAGCGAAGGCGTTTAGAGAGCCACGGGATTTCCACTTTCTAATGTTCTCGAAAACAGACTGAAAACAGAAATTGAGACAACTTCTGTGCTTCAGATCGGTCGGTACGAATCCGGCGGGCGAAAGTTTTTGCCCGCACTCGGAAATTCTTGAAGATAACTTTCGTAACGCGGAAGGTGGCGGCGTAAAACAGCAGTTTATCGAAGGGGCATGGTACGGTGAGAGCACAAACTGGGTGGGATTCAATTTTTTCCTGGAATCTGCCAGGCGCGGGGTAATGGAATTTTCATCGAGAAAGGACCTTTTATGAAATTCGCCGATTGGATGTCGATAGTTGCTTTTAGTTATTGGTTCACGGTTAAGTTCATAATTGAGCCAGGATTGTGGAATCGGAGGATGAAAATTGTCTTCGTCGCTCGCGAAAAAAAAAATGGTTGTCAATTTTGATAGCTCGCACTGCTTCGTTGTGGCCTATAATGTATGCTATACGAAGTTATTACGAGTTTTTTTTTACTTTAGTTGAAACTGTAAGTTCGAGTCAAGAGCATGCATTTCATGTTCAGGGTCAAAAACGCAAGAACTTCACCAGGTCCTAACAGATATTTGCGCGGCTTCCGCAGCGTTTAGGCTTAGTGCTCAGGTTGCTGAACTTGGCGCGCAGGCAACTGACGGGTGTGCGTCATATGGCGCGATTCAATCGGCATTGGAGCACAGGCCGTGGTTGCCTGTGCGCTCTGTGACCGACAACTCGTCCGCGTACCATATTTCATTAAACTCCTCCTACCTGCGACAATAGCGCCAGTAAGTATCGCCGCTTTTTTTTCGATCTTCAGGCCCAACGAGATTTGTGAGATTTCTTATATCGATTAGTTGCTGAAGTATAGTAGTTGAGTGACATGGACGAGTTGTCCGGCCACAGAAGGATGGCCTGTACGCTCTAATGCCAATGTGATCGCGCCATATGACCGCCTCCACAATTGACCTTTGTTAGACATGCTCCTTCCCGTCGGTGAATATTTGGTGGCACACAGTGCCTTGACGCGCCACCATGCTGTGTTTTGTCATAACTCTTCATGTGTACACGAAAAGAAAACAAATCTTCAGAGGAAAAAAACAAATATAAATAATACTAAAGAACAGAATGATGCGCTAGACACTTCTTTGGAACAAATCGAACAAAAATGTAATAAAAATAGTATCACAATAAATCGCGAATAGAACACATGCCCCTTACTAGAACTGAGTTTCTGACGATGCTCACGTACTAAGTATGGATTAGATTTTTCGAAGACAGTAATCGAGTGCAAAAACGATAACAACTAGACCAGAAATGTTTCAAGAATGAATCGCTCAGGTAAATTCCAAACACACAGGATAGACAAAAGGCATCGTGAGACCCTAAAACTAAGCGACAGTGAGCGCAATCAATCTCACAAAAGCTTTCATATTAGATGAGGATTGCATAGATTAATAAGGATTATTCGTGTAAAGACTCTAGTTATTGTATCTACAGACCGAAGTAAAAGTGAATCAGATTGCCGCTTTTATAGACACAACTTCATTTCAGTTATCACATTCTTGCTGTCGCAACTGTCATGATAACTAAAACATGCACGAGTCATTAGTCGTTTACAATATTAGTCTATAGTCATTTACAAAATCATTCGTCATCCAATTTCGGGTAGACTGGCTCCATATCGCGTTTCGATGGTGGAATCAGATGCTTCGGCAGTTCCACTGGCAGCTCATGACCTGAAAATATTAGAATACGGTCTGTAGAACAGAGACTAAGAATACTAGCTACGGAGCGCGTTATGTATCTAACAAGGAAGGGCTCCCAGGTAGTAGAGATGTATACGCCTAGATGTGCCTTCGAACGCTGATCTCAAATCTACCTTCCAAATCTGCTAAACGATTCTCTGAACGGAGTTATGAAGCAAAACAGCGCAACGGTAGTGGTCGGGACTCACAGTCAAAACGTCGTAGGATCGGTCCCTTATCGTGTTTACTGTTTTCCATTCTTCAGGAATACAGCTAAACGGCTTTAATAGCCCGAATAGCTGAATTCCTGAAGAATGCAAAACAGCAATACGATAAAGAACCGATGCAATGATGTTCTGGGAGTCCCGACCGCTACCGCTGCGCTGTGCTTCATAAAACCGTTCAGACAATCGTTTAGCAGATTTGGAAGGTACGTTTGAGATCAACGTTCGAAAACAGTCCACAACTCCTCTTGAATGGCCATGGCGACTTGGAAGCCTTTCCTTGTAAGGCTCCACTAACGGGAACTAATAAACATCACACTCCTTCCACTTAATTTACATCTGGACGCTGGCGCGGATGTAGCAACAGCAAACGTTAGCATGGACAAGCATTTTGTTAACTGCCTTTATTGCTGGTTGTGGAGAAAAACAGGTAGTGAGCATAATACGTGAGAGGAGTGGGGAATGAAAGCAATATATTGGAAGGGGACCAACTTTTCGTGCGCAAAGTGTGCGCATCAGCATATGATGTATTGCCTCGTGAAAGAGACGCAGGAGCAAAAGGATTAGATGTCTCAACACCAGATATGGATAGGTTCCCTCAGGGCACTTAGGGAACTTACAGAAATTTATTGGGGTTTCCACCCCACCCCCCCCAGAGATTTTTCACTCGCAACCGGGCTTGTCTGTGAAGTGTAGGACAGATAGCCTACAGCTTTATGATCATGATACGTCACTCTAAGAAGCGAAAAAAGATGTGTGGTGTTGCAGGGATAGGTTAAAACGTACGCTCAATTCCTGGGCGCGTCACAGTAATGGAATTCTAAAAAGATTGTAAACATTCAAATATGAAGAGCACTCAAATTACTCTACTGTTTTCGTGAACACCGAAGCATCACAAAATTTCCAAATCTAACCCTTTATGACCTCTTTCCACTTACCATCATAAGTAACGCGCTTCGAGATTTCGGCTTCCATACAAATGTTATTGTCGTAATAACCTTAAGGTAACTCCACCTTCGAGTTTGAGATTGATAAGATAATTCGCAAGCGCAAACTCGTCCGCATCCAACTGTCCGTCCCTGTCGACATCGGCCAATTTCCAAATTTTTCCAAGCACTGAGTTCGGCAGTTTTGACTTAACCATGTGCTCTTTCGCAGCACGCCCTGCAATAGTCGCGTTGCAATTTGTATGAATTCCAAATTAGGTAAATATGTCACCACTAGCATTTTATACCACGACGATGATTATTGCGACCCTTAGATCACTTTTGGACTTATGTTGACCATTAAACAAATTACAACAATTAAAGCGAAAAAAATGAATTTTCACTTCGAAAAAATGCTCGTCACGTACCACTGATGAAGCCGTCAACGGGTCCAAGGCTTTCGAATGTAGCATCAGCATCAGCTCGCTCGCGACTAACCACCCATTCAGGTTCATCGGCACCTTTGTCGAACCTTCGCCCTGGAAAGTTGAAGTAAATTACTCATGATTACTTCGCTTACATTAGCCCTTCCGCAGAAGATTCCTTAACACATTGTGCGTACCGAGTGCATCACATGGTGATGCACGCATATACCTGCCCGCGTGGCCACGTGCATCACATGGTGATGCATCAGATTCAAACTCAACATTTCTATTTTCGTTATGGAACAATATCGGTCAAAAACTGCAACCATACGTTTTCGAATATGCTGAATAACATATCTGTCTGGGACTCCAACACCAAAATGTGATATATCCAGACACCATCTTTTGAACAACAAATCTCACGTTAACAAAAAGTTTTATTATAATACATCTTTCTCCTGTATTCGTCTGAAGAAATTGATAGGAATCATAGTAGTTGTACTTGAGCTACTGCCCAGACATGTACTGTGATGAATTTAGAACTCTAAACCTCTTCGATGAAATTGGTAGCATTTGGCACATATAGAGGAGGCCATAAAGTTCTTGTGTGAAATGGGTAGCTCATTAAAAGAAATGATAATTAGGCACTTATACTGACGCTCACGTGGGTTGCTTGTATGGAAATCGAAAACTTCGTACAATTCTTCGATGAAAGTGATAACAAGCTATCGATTACAACATCCCGTATAACCCAAGTGAAGTGGAGAACTCGTAACGTCTTGCAAAAAATGATAACTACGCGCTTACAGTAGAATTCCCGCACTTTGTTCGTGATGAAATCATATGTCACAATAAGCTGATGCACGAATGAGCTCCACACTTTCCATCCTACTACCATAATCGAAACCAGAACTTTACTGGATTCAACATAGCTCTCGGCAAATGGGGAAAAGGGATCAAAGAAGGCATGTGCAGAAAGCAACTGCATTTTCGTCCGATTAAAACCCCTCAACATCAAGAAATTTCCGGTTCGTAGGATTTGTATTACCTAGATTGTGTCAGGCTAATATCACGAAGTGTACAGAAGATCAGTATTAGAAAAACCAAATGTTATCAAGAAGATCGTGTTAACAATAGAATATTTTTTTAGATTACAAAGTACTAGGCAGTTTCTTGTTCTCCATATGCGAAAACGTATCCGAACAAATTTCGGCTTCACTAAGAGTGAAATTCAGATTGTTCAGAAAAATACCGTCCCTGTGGCCAAGTGCATCACATGGTGATGCATGCCGCTAGCCGAAAAAAAATCGCTTGGCCACGTGCGCGGGGAAAGCCGCAATGGCGCCGGTACGCAACGTGTTAAGCTCGCTGAACAGAGCGCAACAAAAAACTTTTCATTTGAGATATTCCACGTAAGGTGATTGTTGAAGGTTGCCCTTCCAATGAGGAGAAGTTACAGAAATCACATACCCGTCCAAATCCGAAGGGAGTTTCGGCCTCTTGAGCTTGGCTGAAGGCTCCTCCTTTTCACGGTCGGCTGTTCGGCTACATGTCCATTAGTGGTTGCAGCAGCTGTCACTTGAGCTTCTTCCTTCGGTATTTGAGCCATTAGCCGAGCTGAAATCAACAAAAGGTTGAAGTCATGGGACTGAAGATTGTGTGCAATCACATCTACTATTATATTTAGTAGTTTGCGCTATTGCGGCACTACAGGTTTCTCAGAACCTCAGCCTTTTGTAAACGTGAAGCTGAAGGAAGGTAAAAAGCAATCCTAGACGGACTTACAGCGCCAAACTCTACTAACTGCCAAGAATATATTGAGGAAAATCAATCATAACTATGATAATAATTGGGGAACTCCTTCAGAAGAAATAAAAGCTAGTTAGTTTTGAAAAGCTAGTTCTCCAACTAAAACTGCAAAACAGGAGAGCCATGTTTTTCGATAATGAACAACGGATGAGAAAAAAGTTTCATCAGATTGATTGGATGCTTTTTCATCTGCGATCCATTCAGTGATGTCAAAAATAATGACACCGTTGCTAAGTCTTAGAGCTCAATCTACACTTCACCTTACATTAGCGATACTAACAATATACATACTGCTACGCTTCCAGTGGGATGCTTAAATTCCGTTGGTATATTTGATAGATTCATATAATAGAAAGAAAGTGATTGAATTCTCACCAATGTCACTAGCGAGCATGCCGTCAACGATCTCAAGTAGCTTCGGTTTTATTGGATTGAATCGTGTGAAGTCGTGCGTTTGCAGCCTATCGCGCATTTTATTCACATCCGGGAAATCTCCTGGTGATATGTTGTGCTCCCGCTAAAATGTATAAGTTCAAATTGTGGTAAGGTTCCAGAATCCAGAAAAAATAACATAAACATACGTGTCACCTTGAAACATGAAAAAAATATAGCAACAATTCGCAACAGTAACACACCTGAAGCTGTTCAAATATCTTGTCTAGATTCTGAATGAGCTCCTTCTTCTTCTTTTCCTTGCCAATCATAGTTGGCATTTGCTTACGTAATTCGGAGATTATGTAAGCGTGAACCTTCAAAGGAGAAATTTTCCATGATGGAAAAAAATCACGGAAGAGAAGACCAAAACTCAGGGGGGAAAATGACTGACCTTAGCTAAGCGTGCTCTTTTGATGAGGTCATTGAGTTTGCGAAGTGCTGCATTACGAGGAAGCGCTTGCAGATCTTGGAACAAGTCATGTTGTTCATCTTGGAATAGACGTCTGCAAAACCAATAGTTTAAAAATATGAAAAAACGAAAAAATGCTTCACGTGTTCAACAAAAGGCAAAGACAGAAAGAAGAAAAGTTGAATTTCAGGCAGAAGTCGGACTTTGCGCCAATGAGGTCAAAGCGATTCCCGCAACTCCCTAACGATTGCTCGCAAAGTCTGACATCTGTCTTACAGAATAATGGTATAAATTTAGTACGATGGAGTAAAAGACAGAGGGCAACCATAACAAAGCTGACCTGTTTATATCGTAGTGAAGGGGATGATCCCAGAACGTTCCAATGTAAACACGAGATACTTCGGGGGTTTTGAATACCTTAATTGTAGGGAAAATGTTTTAGCTAATCTCGTCTAGTTACCAACAAATTATGAAACTGACCTTTCCAAGGGACCACATCAAAGCTCCATAAACACGCATCAACTGCTGATGATCTACCATGTCGGACTTGTTTAAGACAATACGAATTTTGTCTTCATTTCCTAGAAAATTAGAAGGCTAGAGGACTTGTTTAAGACAATACGAATTTTGTATTCATTTCCTAGAAAATAGAAGGCTAGAGGGACTATCAATTTTCCATTCAGTTCCAACTCCTGGCATAGGTCAACGATCTGGCTACAAGCTTGCATAACGGTTTACGAGTTACTTGAACTTTCTTCTATGGTTGTGCCACGAATGGTGAGGACACAGACCTGGGAGCCCTAAGGACACAGACTTTTAGGAGGGAGGAACTTCGAGGTGGGTGAACCACTGCCAATTACAGTGTGATAAATATCTGAATGTGTGAGATCACAGTGGTCATGATTGGCCGTAAGGCAAGAGAGCGCAGATGAGAGCATCGAATTAAGGGCGGCCTTAAAAAAGACAGAGTTCGAGTAGTCCGTCAGCCCTGTATATCGCAGCTAAATGAAGATGACCGAACCAAGCGCAAATATTGAGACCTACCACTGAGCGCCTCAATGCATCGTTTGAATTCGTCCGAGATATCGAGCTTGTGCGCATCGAACAACAGGATGATACGATCTACACGTTCGGCGAACCATTCCAGAACTCCGGTAAAGTCGTAGCCGCGATCAATTCTGCAATGAACTAATTTGGTCAGGGACAAAGAGTATTTCCCAAATCAAGCAACACAGGATAGACCAGGGTCAAGCGTCGTGGTTGCAAATCTTCGGGCTTTGGAAGCGTCCTTCTGGACTCGCAATGACGTAGAGCAAAGGAAGTCAGCTGTGAAATAGTAATATTCACAGATCAATCTTTTTTCAATTCTGAAAACTTCAGAATTTATCGTAGGT